AATGGATAAAATAGTGTATGATGAAATGGATGATCCACTTCAGCAGCAGATTTCAAAAACAGGCTTGTGACAGGAACCGATAATAGAATTGCGCACTCACTGGAAGCGCATAGATAATGCGCATATAATCAATAACCACCAGGATCTCTTCCATAGATGGAAGCTCACCTTTACATTCCGCTGACTTAAGAGATCCTGGTGGTTATTGATTATATGCACAATATCTATGCGCTTCCGGTGAGTGCGCAATTCTATTAGCGGTTCCTGTCATAAGCCTGTTTTTGAAATCTGCTGCTGAAGTGGATCATCCATTTCATACACTATATGAACTATTTTATCCGATAGAGATAGAGATATATTTTTATATATATTATCTGTGATGTAAAAAAATGAGACAGATAAATTTCAGAACTTTTTCCACCTTTAATGTAACATAAAACTGTACAACTCAGTTGAACAACCAACAAACTGAAATCTTTTAGGTGGAGGGAAGTAAAAATAAAAAGCTAAAATAATATGGTTGCACAAGTGTGCACACCCTTATACTAATACTTTGTTGAAGCACCTTTTGATTTTATTACAGCACTCAGTCTTTTTGGGTATGAGTCTATCAACATGGCACATCTGGACTTGGTAATATTTGCCCACTCTTCCTTGCAAAAACACTCCAAATCTGTCAGATTGCGAGGGCATCTCCTTTGCACAGCCCTCTTCAGATCACCCCACAGATTTTCCATTAGATTCAGGTCTGGGCTCTGGCTGGGCTATTTCCAAAACTTTATTCTTCTTCTGGTGAAGCCATTCCTTTGTTGATTTGGATGTATGCTTTGGGTCGTCGTCATGCTGAAAGATGAAGTTCCTCTTCATATTCAGCTTTCTAGCAGAAGCCTGAAGGTTTTGTGCCAATATTGACTGGTATTTGGAACTGTTCATAATTCCCTCTACCTCGACTAAGGCCCCAGTTCCAGCTGAAGAAAAGCAGCCCCAAAGCATAATGCTGCCACCACCATACTTCACTGTGGGTATGGTGTTCATTTGGTGATGTGCAGTTTGTTTTTTTTGCGCCAAACATATCTTTTGGAATTATGGCCAAAAAGTTCAACCTTGGTTTAATCAGGCCATAACACATTTTTCCACATGCTTTTGGGAGACTTAAGATGTGTTTTTGCAAAATTTAGCTGGGCTTGGATGTTTTTCTTCGTAAGAAAAGGATTCCATCTTGCCACTCTACCCCAACATATACCACTCTATCCCGACATATGAAGAATATGGGGGATTGTTGGCACATGTACCACACAGCCAGTACTTGCCAGATATTCCTGCAGCTCCTTTAATATTGCTGTAGGCCTCTTGGCAGCCTCCCAGACCAGTTTCTTCTCGTCTTTTCATCAATTTTGGAGGGACGTCCAGTTCTTGGTAATGTCACTGTTGCGCCATATTTTCTCCACTTGATGATGACTGTATTCACTGTGTTCCATGGTATATCTAATGCCTTGGAAATTCTTTTGTACCTGTTAACAACGAGATCCCTCTGATGCTTTGGAAGCTCTCTACTGACCATGGCTTTTGCTGTAGGATGCGACTCAGAAAATGTCAGGAAAGATCTACTAGGACAGCTGAAATTTATTTGGGGTTAATCAGAGGCACTTTAAATGATGGCAGGTATGTACTGACTCCTATTTACCATGATTTTGAATGTGATTGCTTAATTCTGAATACAGCTACATCCCCAGTTATAAGAGGGTGTGCACACTTATGCAGCCGTATTATTTGAGTTTTTTATGTTTACTTCCCCCCCAAAAAAAAAGATTTCAATTTGATTTTTAATTGAGTTGTACAGTTTGTAGGTCACATTAAAGGTGGAAAAAGTTCTGAAATTATTTATCTTTGTCTCATTTTCTTACATCACAGAAACATGACATTTTAACAGGTGTGTAGACTTTTTATATCAACTGTACGTAGGAATGTATAAACAAAATCAGGCCAGAACAACCTTCAGATGAGTGGATAGAGAGACCAGAAAGATCAGAGCGCAATCTCTCTTAGCATAGATAATCAAATCTACATATATGTAAGTGTGAAACTGCTAAAGAAATTTGGAAAGGATTACAAAAGGTGCATGAAATAGCTAATCTCAGCAATAAACTGTATTTGAAATTAACGGAGAATGAAAATCTGTTGAGAATGGCTACGCAAGTGGAATAAAAATTAGTCCATGTGATCAAACAATGAAATGCACCAGCTGTATAAAAGTAAAGCCTTTCCAAAGCAGTGTAATGACAGAGCTAAAAAAGCCTTTGGACTTAATTCATTCAGATCTTTGCAGTCCAATGGAAAAATTTACTCCAGGAAAGAAGAGGTATTTTCTCTTATTTTTATAGATGGTTACTCCAGGTATACTACACACTATATCGGTTACACAACAAAAGTGAAGTACCAGAGAAACTTGAACAGTACATGACTCAAACAGTACTTGTACTTGAACAGTAAGCATCACATTTGTCAAAATGTTGAGTGTAGTACACACAGACAATAAAACTAAATATACAGGGGACAACACACAGGCATTTCTCAGAAAGCATGGCATAATATTTCAAAATACTGTACCATACAACTCAACAAAACAGGGTTGCAGAAAGAATGAACCGTACTCTGAGAGTGGAAGAACCATGTTGTGAAGAGATATGCCAACCAAAATCGACTACCAGGAAATCCACTAAAGAAAACTATGAATATTAACTGTGTAACTGTGGATTGGAAAAAACCCTGAATCGGATATAAAAATGTTGAAAGCAAAGCCTATGTGCACATCCCAAAAGAAAAACATACAAAATGGGATGTTTTCACCAAGGAAGGTGTACTTGTGGGGCACAGTGAATCTCAAAAGGGATATAGAATTCTACACCAAGACACAAGCAAGATGACCATCAGTAGAAGTGTAATTGTCGATGAAACTTCAGTGTGTTCAAAATTTAATGAGCAAACACTCAAACTGAGGAAAATTCCACATCAGTGTTAATTGAAGATAAGCAACAAAGTGACACAGAAATAGAAGTAAACAGAGACAATCCAAACACTGTAAAATAAGAAACGAGGTCACAACAGACTTCAATCAAGAAATCTACCAGAAGCAAGAAAGGCATCCCAGCCAAACGTCTGTCCTATGTTGCACACATAGCATTAAAACCAGAGCCAGATTCATGAGACGAGATGCAAAGACTTTAGAAACAAAAGTGCATCACATGCTTTGACAAAACCTCTTACAAGAAACAGATTAATAGAACTGAGATCCAAAATGAAACTAATAGTAGTTATTGAGTGGGGGTGTTGGAATACATTGTTCATGTATTTTTGTGCAACCCAACTACTGTACATCAGTATCAGTATTCAACTGGTAGATGGCAGTGTTTGTTGCTGCATCTATGACTATACTCTTTTTCCTGAATAAAGTTTCTGTGTCCTGTTTGTAGAGAAGCAGCAGATAAACACAGGTCGACTGTCTGCTGTCTGTTTTGTAGGGCTATATACATAATCTCTAACACTTTCTAGCAACAAAAAACTGTCAGAAAGAGTCTAGCACACTATATAAGGACAACAGAAACTTGAACGTAATTTGGAAAGCGTGTAGAAAAAAAAAAAGGGAAAAAACATTCATGAGTGCCTGCACACAAAATCAAGAACTGAAGTTTTTTCATCATCCTTGGCTGTTCAGTGTTCTCTCTTTTCCATCCAAAAAGCTAGGTAAAATAATAGATTTTAATTTGTTTCAAACTAGGTTTTGAATTATTTAAATTTATTTCCATTTAAAAAAAATGCACAGACTATTAAAATATAAAATAACACAGCCAGTTATTTTCAATTCTGAGATTATCCCCACAGTATTTTTTTTTTGCTTTATTATTATTATTATTATTATTATTATTATTATTATTATTATTAAACAGTATTTATAAAGCGCCAATAGTTCGCTCAGCGCTGTACATTACAAAGTGGGACAGAACATGTGACAGAACAATACCAATACAATGTGATACACGAGGGGTTCGAGGGCCCTGCTCTTTCGAGCTTACAATCTAGGAGGGAGGGGGGGGTGGTGGTACAGGAGGAGATAGCTGTGGGGGATGGAGTGGTAGGAAGAGTGGAGGAGGTCGGCAAGTTAGCAGGGGGTGGGGTAGGCTTCCCTGAAGAGATGGGTTTTTTTGCGCCTAAAGGAGAGGAGAGTAGGTGATAATCTGATGGGTTGGGGCAGGGAGTTCCAGAGGATGGGTGACACCCTGGAGAAGTCCTGGAGGCGGGCATGGGAGGAGGAGACCAGGGAACTAGAGAGAAGGAGGTCTTGTGAGGAGCGGAGTGTGCGTGCTGGGCGGTACTTGAATATTAGGTCAGTGATGTAGTTCGGGGCAGTATGGTGGACAGCTTTGTACGTCAGTGTTAGGATTTTGAATTTGATCCGTTGCGCAATCGGAAGCCAGTGGAGGGATTGGCAGAGGGGGGTGGCGGAGACAGAGCGGTTGGAAAGGTGAATGAGTCTGGCAGCCGTATTCAGGATCGACTGAAGCGGGGATAGCCAGCGGCGAGGCAGGCCAGTGAGGAGGGAGTTGCAGTAGTCGAGTCGTGATATGATGAGAGTGGATGAGCTGTTTAGTGGTTTCTGGGGTTAGGAACGTGCGGATTCTGGCGATGTTGCGGAGGTGGAGTCTGCACGAGTTTGTTAAAGATTGGACTTGGGGCTGGAAGGATAGGTTGGAGTCCAGAATGACACCAAGTACTCTGGCCTGCAGGGCGGGTAACGCTGAAGGAGCGTTGTGACAGGTAGGATGAGAGCCAGGAGAGAGCAGAATCTGAGGCCGAGGGAGTGTAGTTTTTTGAGGAGAAGGGGGTGGTCGACTGTGTCGAAGGCCGCAGAGAGGTCAAGGAGTAGGAGCACTGAATAGTGGCCATTAGCTTTGGCGGTTAGCAGGTCGTTGGGACTGTCCATCATTTTAGAGGGGGGCCTCAGGACTGTCCATCATTTTAGAGGGTGCATCGAAACGGTCCATCATTTTAGAGGGCGCCTCGGGGCTGTCCATAATTTTAGAAGGGGGGCCTCAGGACTGTCCATCATTTTAGAGGGTGCATCGAGACTGTTCATCATATTAGAGCGTGCATCGAGACTGTTCATCATATTAGAGCGTGCATCGAGACTGTCCATCATTTTAGAGGGTGCATCGAAACTGTCCATCATTTTAGAGGGTGCATCGAAACTGTCCATCATTTTAGAGGGTGTATCGAAACTGTCCATCAATTTAGAGGGTGCATCGAGACTGTCCATTTTAGAAGGCGCCTCGGGACTGTCCATAATTTTAGAGGGGGCCTCAGGACTGTCCATCATTTTAGAGTGTGCATCGAGACTGTCCATCATTTTAGAGGGTGCCTTGATTAAAAAATGGTTAAGAAACACTGTATCAGAGGAGAACAGGCTGAGTCTTGCGGGCTGAGTCCCGTGTGTTCCCTCCCTCATATCCAAGGTGTGTTGGAGTACAGAAGTGACTGTCAATCATTTTAGAAGGGGCCTCGAGACTGTCCATCTTTTTAGAGGGTGCATCGAGACTGTCCATAATTTTAGAGGGTGCATCGAGACTGTCCATAATTTTAGAGGGTGCATTGAGACTGTCCATCATTTTAGAGGGGGCCTCGGGACTGTCCATCATTTTAGAGGGGGCATCGAGACTGTCCATTTTAGAGGGGGGCCTCGGGACTGTCCATCATTTTAGAGGGCGCCCTCGAGACTGTCCATCATTTTAGAGGGGGGCCTCGGGACTGTCCATCATTTTAGAGGGGGGCCTCGGGACTGTCCATCATTTTAGAGGGCGCCTCGAGACTGTCCATCATTTTAGAGGGGGGCCTCGGGACTGTCCATCATTTTAGAGGGGGGCCTCGGGACTGTCCATCATTTTAGAGGGGGCCCTCGGGACTGTCCATCATTTTAGAGGGGGGCCTCGGGACTGTCCATCATTTTAGAGGGGGGCCTCGGGACTGTCCATCATTTTAGAGGGGGGGCCTCGGGACTGTCCATCATTTTAGAGGGGGGCCTCGGGACTGTCCATCATTTTAGAGGGTGCCTTGATTAACAAAAAGGTTAAGAAACACTGTATCAGAGGAGAAGAGGCTGAGTTTTGCGGGCTGAGTCATGCGGCCCGAGTCCCGTGTGTTTCCCTCCCTCATATCCGAGGTGTGTTGGAGTACAGACGTGAGCTGCGCTGCTCTCTCCATAGCGGACTGTAGAAAAGTCTGGGAGTAATGTTCCTGTGAACACATCGGAGCAGTGCACATTCATGAGATGGGGGGGGGGGATGGGGGGGGGGGGGGGGGGGGGGGGGGGAGAGATACACGAGGAGCTCCCACCAACACAGGGATGTCCCCAGGCCGCCCCCTCCCGGTCACAGCTCAGGACGTCAGTATACAGCCCTCCCGCCCGCCTTGCCCCAGGAAGCCCCGTGTATTGGGCACACGCCGTACACATCACTGGAGCTGCAGCACAGGAACCGCTGACCGCCGTCCTCAGCTCCCCTCAGTCCACCCCTCCGGACAGGCGCGCTGATGGTATCTCCCAGAGAGGCTGGACCAGCAGGCGGCAGGAGAGCGAAGTAAGAGGCTGCTGTGAGCGGGGCTGGATGTGGAGGAGCTGCTGCTGGGAGACCAGTGCCAGGAATTCCTCCAGCTTGTGTAAGAGTTTCTATACTGATACTTTGACTTCAATGCTGACCCAAAACAAGTATACAGATATTTCTGACACTCATTTACCGCATGCTTTATGTATGAAAGGATGACAATCAGCCAAATGATCAGAGGATAATTTTACTAAATAGGTGCAGAGTAGGATTCAGAGTTGCCAACCCCCCAAAATTTGTTTTTTACTGACAAACAGGGAAGATTTACTGACACAGCACATTTTATACTGACAACTTTAAACTTTTTTTTTTTTTTAATAGGGATTTCTATCATATTTAAACAGTATAACTTACATGTAAACGTTAACAATACGCATAGGGATAATCTGCCTGGCTTTGCCTTTAAAAATTCAAAATAGCATGTGAGCATGACTAGTGTAGCCAGGTGCTTGGCTAAGAATGGAGAGTGAGAGAAACACTGGCTGCAGCTGCTATCTGTAGCTGCTGCCCTGTGGTGCTCAACTAATTGGCAACTACAGAGGTTGAACAAAATTATAGAAACACCAGGTAAAATAATGAAATTGTTACATAATATGGTATTGGACCGTGTTTGGCATCTAAGACAGCCTGAATTATCCTGGGAATTGACAACTATAAGTCTTGGATGGCAGATAATGGAGTCTGATACCACTATTCGTGCAAAACTCCTTGCAGAGTTCTCACAGAGATGCTGGCGGTGGAAAATGAGCCCGAACTTTGTTCTCCAAAATTGACCATAGTGGCTTTATTATATTGAGGTCTGGCAGCTGCAGCACCCAGGGAAGGGGTGAGACTTAATCTGCATGCTTGTCAAACAATTTGACAACACTAGCTGTGTGAATTGGAGCATTATCATGGTAATTGGCAGTGTCTTCAGGAAACAATGTCTGCACCATGGGGTGCACATAGTCTGCTAAAATTTGAACATAGTCTCTGGCTATGCCTGTTAGCTAGGTGTCATCATCATCTCAGAAACTCTACTGTTATCTGAAAATCTATATATCGCTCAACTCTTTAACTACTTATTTACTGATCTAGTTAATATGTCTCATTTCCTTTGACCTACAGCTCAGATCTCACATTATTATAAGATTCCTAATTGTATATCACCACTAGTCTGATTGCATTCATAATTCCTGGTCAGTCCCGTTCCCTTACCTACAGTATTTATTTATTTATCGAGTTTATATAGCGCCAAAGGGTTTGCTCAGCGCTGTACAATAGAGGGGGGACAATACATGAAACAGTACAGTAACATCAAACAGCACACAAGGGGTAAGAGGGCCCTACTCTTTCGAGCTTACAATCTAGGAGGGAGGGGGTAGAGGTACAGGAGGAAATGGCTGTGGGGGATGGAGTGGTGCAGCGGCTGTTTCTGAGCATTCCCTGAAGAGGTGGGTTTTCAGGGAGCGCCTGAAGGTGAGGAGAAAGTCTGATGGTTGGGGGTAGTGAGTTCCATTGACCTGTCAATTGCAGTCGTGCGTGGGAGGAGGACCAGGGAGCAAGTGCTTGCAGCGAAGGGTACGGGTAGGGGGTACTTGGGAATCAGTCGGTGAGGTAGTTAGGGGCAGTGTTTGTGAATGGCTTTATAGGTCAGACCTGAGCAGTTTGAATTTAATGCGTTGGGTAATGGGGAAAAGGGCAGAGCAGAAGGGGGTGGCAGAGGTGCGGCTGGTGAGGTTGAGTCTGGCACTGAGTTCAGGATGGTCTGAAGTGGGGAGAGTTTGCACTGTTAGGGCCGATGAGGAGTGCAGTATCAAAAAATCAGGGACCGGAATGCACAACAAAGGAACTTTTGAACAAGGTGGACATATTTGTAATTAAATTGAAGAAAAGGTTTGACAGGACACAAGGACCTTAACTGCTGGGCGGGTGGATTGCATAAAAAATTGTTGCACTGGAAAGGATGGGGGGGGGGGGCCACGGGAAGGGGGAAAAAAAAAACAGAAGCTCGGTTTTGGAGAGGTTGAGTTTGAGGAAATGGAACATCCAGTCAGATGTTCCTTTAGGAGGTGAGTATATATAAAGTATAATAACCTTTAGAGCCAGTTCACACTACATGTGTTTCAGTTGCTTTTTTTCTGCATCCAAAACACCACACAAAGTGGGTTATATTGGCAATGTCATAGTTCACATCAGTGCTTGCAGTTTCAGTGCGTTTCGTTGCAGAAATAAAAAGTAGAACATTGTTTCTGCACAGAACTGTAACATTGTAAAGTGCATCAAAAAACACCGGAATGCACCACAAATGCACATCCCTAATTAAATTGAAGAAAAAGACAGGACAAAATTAACTGGAATGCATAAAAAAATGCACCTGGAACACATTAAAAAACCTATAAAAAAAAACAGTGTTCAACAATGTCAAACACGTGCATGCAAAAACGCATCTGGAACACATCTAGACGGCTTTTCTATAGTGTGAACCGGCACTTAGGACTTGTTCACACCATTTGTGGGTGCAGAAACGCATGCATTTTTCAGCACAGCAAAGAAACGTAATGCCCTTTGCAGATGTGCGCAGGTACCATGAATAATTAATTGCACCTCCACATATCTAGCAAACACAGATGCATTCACAGCCACCATTGAAATTAATGGACTGGGGGAAAAAGGTCCTCTGTCCTGTACAGCATGAATGAGTGGGTTGTTCACGTGGCTGGAGCCACCTGTTACTCTATGGGGACACAGCAGCTGTATGAACACAGGTTTTAATCTGACAGGTGTGAAGGCGTGGGGAAGTGGCCCTGAATGCTCACTGTCCTGTTCAGGGCTGTACACCTGCACCCATATGCTTGTCAAATTAGGACCTGCAGTGTTTCCATAGGGTAAAATAGGTTGCCTGCTAACTGCTCCAAGCGGCTCCAGGCACATAAACAAACCACTGATTCACACTCTACAGGCCACAGCACCCATGTGAATGAGCCCCAAGACCTCAATTACGCACACAGCTTTATTAACTCAGTACAGTTTATCATTTAGATTTAACAGGAGATTTGTTGGGATTGTGTACATTAATAACGCTTTTAGTGTATTTTTACCATAAATATATTTTTGATATTGTCACTGGCAGGGGGGACCTGTCAGGTAGGCTGTTCGGGGCCCTGTGACATCTAACAGCGGCTGTTCTGTGTGTCCAATCTAAGCATTGATAGTGTGATCTCTGTAACTTACAGTTGTGATGAGATAGCGATAACTTCAACCTCAGTTGGGGTCCACAGTCAGTGACTCAATCAGAATGATATCTTGCAGATCTTGTGTAGTTTATTCCATAAACTGACAGAATCTTACAACAATAAACATTCGATAGGTCGAAAGAACATACTGTTTCTGCTTCTTGCCATGAGGCTTACTGCAATGCATCTCTTGAAGAGGGGGGGGGCTATCTATGCAACATTAGCTAAACTAAAGGAAAGGGAGGAGCAGAGACAAAACACTGAAAACATTTAAAGGCATATGACAGTCAATATGATAGCCATGCGAAACATGACAGTGTCCCTTTAACCACTTGACCTCCAGAGGATTTACCCCCCCCTTGATGACCAGGCCTCTTTTTTGCTACTCGGTGCTGCACTAATTCAACTGATAATTGCGCGGTCATGCAATGCTGCACCCAAACAAATTTACGTCCTTTTTTTCACACAAAGAGCTTTTTTTGGTGGCATTTGATTACCTGTGTGCTTTTTATTTTTTCACGCTATAAACAAAAAAAAGGCCAAAAATTTTGAAGAAAAACAATATTTTTTTACTTTCAGCTATAAAAAATATATAGTAAACTCAAAGTTGGTTATAAATTTAGGCCAAAATGTATTCTGCTCCATGTTTTTGGTAAAAAAAAATCCCAATAAGTGTATATTGATTGCTTTGTGTGACAGTTATAGTGTCTACAAACTATGGTATAAATACTGCAATTAACGCTATTTTTTTGCTATACAGCGCTGCTCTAGTTTAACGGACAATTCCGCGGTCATGCAATATGGTACATAAATTAAATTTATATCCCTTTTTTCCCACAAATTGAGCTTTCTTTTGGTGGTATTTGATCGCCTGTGCGGTTTTTATTTTTTGTGCTAAAAAAAAAAAAAAGTCTGACAATTTTGAGGAAAAAAAAAAAATATTTTGGACTTTTTTGCTATAAAACATGTCCAGCAAAAAAAAAATTTAAAAATCAAATTTAGTCATAAATTTCTGCCAAAATGCATTCTGCGACATGTCTTTGCTAAAAAAAAAACCCAATACGTGTAAATTAATTGGTTTACATGAAAGTTATAG